CCCCACAATTAACCAAGACTTTGTTGATGGTCGCTTCCCTTATTTTTTCCCTTATGAACAAGGTTTTGAAGTGATTCCTCATTGCCTCAGTGGGACGCTCAAAAAAGGAATTTTGCTGTTCTACACATCCATTGTTCATAACATAGTATCATACTGGCCTATGCTTGGCCATTTCTTGTTCGACCTCCCACTCGGTCTCTTCGACTTCGACCAGTTAGTCGTATTCTCTGGGCAGCACAGACACCACATTTACCATGATGTCTAATGTAGCATCAGACCCAGAATCAGATTCTTCCTCCGATTCATCTTGTTCGGGCCATACCAGCCTTCTAGCAATTGGTTTTTTCTCCAAAGGCATTCTTGGCTTAGCCTTTTCTTTTATTTGCGGCACATTAGTGCTTGTTTCTGGTTGGGGATTTTCTGCAGCCTCTCGTTCGGCCTTTCGCCGTCTCTGATACCTTCTCCATTGGGAGCGGGTCATAGGGTTATTTCCTTTGTGATTGTTCGACACGTGAGCAATCCTGTTTGTTGTTGTTGGCTGAAATTCCTTTATGTAGGCCAAAGTGGATCCTCTTGGTATATAGAACATCTGCCATTTTCCCTCGTTGGGCCTTTTTCTATTCGCTGTCTTCAACCAAGTGTCCACATGGACATTTGTTGGAGGCTTGAAGGTTGATGGCCTACTCACCTGGTTTACTGGCCCCTTTTGGTATCCCCTTCTAGGGTCGTACCTTACTTCAGGATCCATGTTAGACTGGGCAATGTTGCCCCATTTTTTATTTGCTACACACACCTTGTATATTCTCAGCAGCTTTTTTGTCGAAGATAGAACTGCATCTTGGACACAACATAACTTCTGACTTCTTTTTCTGGCATCTGTGTAAAAAATCTGCCAGATTTTTGTTTTCCTTAGGAAATGCAAGCTTGTTGATTTCCTTTTGTCTGATGTTATCTTCTGAATCTGCAGCTTTAGGTTCAGACACTTCAACCATATTTATTTCCACATTGCTCTTACCATCTACACTTAGCTTATGCATCTTGGCCTCTAGGCTTTCTGTCAAACCTGTGACAGCAGCCGAGTATGAACCTTCAGTAGTTCCTTTATTTGAGCCTTCAGTGGCTCCCTTGTTTAGGCTTTCAGCAGCCTTTCTTTGTACCTCTTCGACAACTTTTCTGCTAATGTCCTCAGTGAAACTGCCAAAAACAGGTTTGTTGATGAAGTCTTCTGAGACTTCGACCATATTGATTCATGAAGGTTCAACATAATGGACATCTTCCTGCAACGGGTTTGCATCAATCTTCATGGGAGGTTTGTCAGCAAACTTGAGTCTGTCGTCTTTTATTGCGCCTTGAATGAGATCCCTGAAAAGAAAACATTGTGAGGTTTTATGGTCCAAAAAATTATGATATTTACAAAAACCTCTCTTTTTCCTTTAATCTAAAGGAGGCATTTTTGCCCCTGGGGGCACTATCATCTGGCCATCTTTAACTAACAAGTCAAATATTTCGTCACATTTTGTGACGTCGAAACTATATGTTTTCTTTGGGAACCTATCACTACTTTTTTCAAATTCAGTAGGATTCTTCCCATTTGAGGGTGTTAACAATTTGAAAGAGTATGGTGACCCTTGCTTTAATTCTGCTAGATCGACCTCGCTCTCTTTGACAGTTATAGGGTCACTAGATGTCTCTGGATCGTCATCATCCACTTTGACATATGCTACCCTTTCTCTTCGATAATTTTTATTCGCCTTAGATTTTTCAGCCTTAAGGCGTTCTACCTGTCGAACTCTATTGGCCAATTGGGCCATACCTCTCAAGTATTGGGTATCTAATTTCTTCCCAATGGAGTAATCTAGACCCCCTGCAGCCATTTCGACCAACTCATATTCAGACACTTGTGTAAAGCATCTGGCTTTGAGCAGTCGAAATCTGTTCAGATACTCATCAATTGGCTCAGTGAATCTCCTCTTTACACTAGCCAATTCTTTCAGGCTTATTTTGGTTTGTCCCGTATAGAATTGTTCATGGAACAATCTTTCCAATTGATTTCAATTGAAAATCGAATCGGCTGGGAGTATGGTAAACCAAGTGAAGGCATTTTTGGATAAGGAGCTTGGGAAATACTTAATCCTAAGATTCTAATTATTTGAGATTTCCCCAGCCTCTATCAAATACCTTGCCACATGTTCGACAATGGACTCTATCGTATCCCCTGAAAACTTGGTGAACTTTGAAACTTTCCACCTAGGGGGTAAATCTGATTGTAAGACATAATCTGACAATGGAGATGTAAAGTTTGGCCTATGAAAGCCAATGTTTACTCCATTATGTGCCATGATTCTTTCGACCATGGCTGTCAAGTTATTATTTGTTGCATGGTTGTGGTGTCGAACCTGCTGTATTACCTCATCAGCATTTTGGTTTCTATTTACCACAACTACACCTTGTTCGACAACTCTTGGGATTTGTCGGGCAACTCTGGGTACTTCGACCCTAGGTTGTTCGACCTCCACTCTATGATTCATCCCATCTGGATGTGGATTCTGGTTAATGGCCATGTCATCCTCTAAGACCACATACTAATTTCCTCTTATCAGCCCTCTTTGGGGGTATTGAATAGGTTGAGGAACCCCAAAAAAATTGGCCATGCACGTCATTTGCGCTGCCATTTGCTGGTTCGACTGGGTGGTATTTTGTATCAGAGGGTTAAGTACTGTACTCAAGGTTTGTACCAATATTTGCACCATGTCATGGTTACTCTCATCCATTTGTTTCCTCAAAATTGCTGCAGAAGAATTTGTGAGGCTTGGCATTATATGGGATATCCCTCCTAAGAGTTGGTTTCTACCCGAATTTGCCATACCAGTTTCAGATCCCTGTAATGGAGAAGATGCACTCACCAAAGATTCTGAAAATATGGATGAGGCATTCATAAGACTTGCCATTTCAGTAGTTGGCATGCCATAGGGTTGGTCTCGACCCATCCAGGCTGCCGAAAATCCTGGAGGGACATAAGGTCGAACTCCCAGATTTTCCCTTGGTGGGGGTGTTCCTGGTGGATTGGTCCTGTTTGTGTAACTGTCAATGCTGGTATCGAACCAACCGTTGATGGCACAGGTTCACTAACTGTTGGTATAACCTCTATTCCCGCAGGAATTGGTGGAGGCATTTCTCCACTACTTGGTTGATTAGGATTAGCCATTCTCCTATTTCTTCTCCTATGCATGTACTCTTTGGTGTTTGATTTACCACTTCTCAATAACACACAACACTTTTGAGAGAAAGGAAATTACGTAAAGCACTTATGATAAAAACTGTTTTTATCAAAGTTTGTAAAAAAACAAAAACTTAGCAACGTCCCATCAGGTGGCCAATTTGTTTACCGTGAAAATTGGTAAACAACCGCTGATCTTTCAAAAAGGTTATTTTGATTCCTTACAGGATCAATCAGTTTGATCCTAGGACACATGTTAAGTATTTTTGGGGTTTGATAAGAAGTCTTAACGTTGTTAATGAACAAGTTCGACTGGACACTAAGAGTAAAGGCTTGGATAGGTTTAAATGCACAGGATGAAGGTAAAAACTTGGTAAAAACGCAAGTAAAGTACACGATAAAGTAAATTTGCAATAATTTAAAAGGCTGTAATGGTAAAGTTTGCAGAAAAATGTTAAATGGCAAGGATTGTAAAGAAATATAAAGACTTTGATTGCAATAAAGTATGGTGATTCAAACGTACATTCTCAATATTCTTTCTCTCATAGCGGGTACTTGAATAAAATTGAGTGACTTGTACAATGAGTTGAGCACACGAAATTCTACACAAAATTCCTATATTTATACTAATAATAAGTAACTGTCGAACAATTGCTTCGTTCCAGGATGAGGACAAGTGTGCTCTGCATGCTCTTCGACCCCTATCTTCACACCACGTCGCTTTTCCCAACTGCTAAATGAATTGCCTTTTCCTCCTTTCTTCAGATTCAAATTCACTTGCTGCTGATACAAGAGCTTTTCGTTCGAAACTGTCTTTAACTTAGAAAATTCTCTAAGTGTTTTTTCCTTCTTAGCAAGGATGACTTCGACACAACTCATTTCACAGACTCTTTTGTCGAAGTGTCTTCAGCTTAGATTTTTTTCAATATATTTTTAGCCAATAAGACCAATATATGTGAGTGTCGAATTTAGGAGCTAACACCACCAGAATACTTTGGAAAAGTGTTCCGATTTACACTTGTTCACACCGGAAGACTTTTCAGAAGTGTTCCGATTTACACTTCTTAGCACCAGAAAATTTTTTAAAAGTGTTATAGTTTACACTTCTTTAAACCAGAAGACTTTTCAAAAGTGTTCTGATTCATTAAAAATTTCAATTTAAAACCAGAACACTTGGACAAACTCTTCCGAAACATTTTTTTTAAATATCAAAACATTTTATTCTACTATTTCGATTTGTATGAATATGTACCAGAAGTCTTTCTTACTATCTTTCAAACCAGAATCGTTTGGATGCAATTTTCAAAAAATTTAATGAAATTTTGATGAATAGTAAAAAGTGAAATAATAAAAAAGTAAAAAAAAATCTAGTACAGCGAAGCAAAATTTTCCTTTATCGCCTATCATTGGGGCCATATTTAGGTTAGCCGACATGGATAACTAATCATGTCTATATGCCATCACGTCTTTAATGCAACTTTTATCCTATGATCAAGAATAACTCAAAAAACAATACTAACCTCTTTTAATATTTATCCTTAAAAAATACAATTTATTAAAATTTAATATAATATGAACGTGTAAAGTATGATCGTTTTCGTAGGGAAGAAGAAAGTTGCGACGAAGAAGGAAAGAATTTAGAGAGAGAAATTGAAAAGCAAAACGTATTTTGCCTCGCTGTAAACAAACTCTATAATTCGATTTCTAGTTTTTCTCTTCTCTTCTTTTCCTTCCCCCTTTTTCCCCTCTTCGCTTTTTCCTTCTCTCTCTCTCTCTCACAACAATGTCTTACGCATATCTCTTCAAGTACATCATCATCGGCGACACTGGTAACCATCTCAATTAGCCCTCTCTAATCTGTTTTTATTAATCTTAATCTCAATTAATCTTTTCTCTTAATTACCATCATCATCGTTAAACCTTGATCACGCGTGTGCGTTGAGTTCCCCAGCTTCTGTTCCCGATCGGGTTTTGTTCATAGGGGTTTTTGTCTTTGTGAATTATTTGATATAATATTATCATAATTGAAGATATTTGATGCTGATTTGATTCTCTTGTGTTGTTTGTTACATGCTAACAATTTTGTTTTTTTTTTTTTAAACGAAATCATCATAAGTATGTAATTAATGGAATTGGATTAATGTATAGATACGTTTATTTATTGTGACTGTGTTATAGTACATGATTTTTGAACTTTGTGAACTGGTTTCAATTGCTGGTTAGAACCTAATAGAGTGTGTTATAGTTTGTTGCTCTTAGTTTTATTTGTTTTTGTTATTTTATGCCTGTTTAAATTTTTGGACCCTTTTTGTTGAAAAATTGTTTAGGAGTTGGAAAGTCGTGTCTTTTACTTCAGTTCACCGACAAGCGCTTTCAACCGGTTCATGACCTGACTATTGGTGTTGAGTTTGGTGCTAGGATGATCACGATCGATAATAAGCCAATCAAGTTGCAAATATGGGATACGGTTTGTTCAACTCTTTCTTAAATCTTTCCAACTTGTTCAATGTTCATACTTATTTACAAATCTGTTGTACTTTTTGTTATTATTTTATGTTGAATCACTGGCTGGTTTTCATATGAAGAATTGTGAAGATAGGAACCATATTGGGTAATGGGCCAAGGGTGGATGCCTTCGTTTGTCATATTTGTAATCTGTCCCTATAACTTTGATATTCATGCCATTTTGTTTCAAATGATACCATGTTGAGTGTGATCTCTAGTGTCCTTGGGGGTTAACCATTTAAATTGTTGAGAATGAGAACCAAATTACTTGGGGTATTTCATGAATTTATCTATAGAGTTTCTATATACATGAAGTAAATCTATGCCTTTGTAGAGGTAAGATAGGTTTGTCAACCCATCTTCTCAAATGGTCATGGGTTATAAATGGAAATTTTCATCCATTAGATGGGAATATTGGGCAGGATATGGGATTTGGTAATGGTAAACCTCTAGATTGACTACCGAAATAGATCCTCTGTTAGCCCCCCATAATAATTCTCCTAATGCCCTTCAAGTTTATTAAAGGAAGAGGGTAAAGGTTATTGTATATGTTTGGTTTCGTAGCCAAAACCCATAAACGCACATTCACTTTGTCAAACTTGATAAACTTGATTTGACTATGCTATTTAGCCTATGTTTGGTGTAGGCTGAAGCTAGCTTTAGCTGCTTCACAAAATCATGGTGGAAAATAAATACTCTAAATGAAAGGTAGCGGTGACCCACCACTTACCAAACAAGCACTAGTTGTTTGGTATTTGAAAGAAAAAGCAGTTGTACTTTTTAAAATTGATTCCACTTGAAGCATCACTTTGCAGCTTTTGCAGTGTCTACAAATCGATTCTGCACTTTTGAATTTTGACTACAATGCATGTCTCTAACTGCCCTTCATTTTTCTACTCTTTTTATAAGGTAGATTTCATTTAATCAACTGGGGAAAAAATTGCATATTGATTTATAGGTGAAGTGGTGGATTTTTAGATGGTGTTTTCGAAATTATTTTTGTTTATCTTTTAGATAGAATAGATTTTATTTATCTAATAAAACTGGTAGATAATTATGCATGTAAAATTCATTTTGGTAATTTGCATACCTAAAAGAAATTTTAATCAAATTATTCAAATACCATCTTTTATATAAATCACTCATTTTTGTTCTATTCAAACATAAATCATTTTCGTTTAACTCACTTTTAACTAAAATCAATTCTACAAAATCAATTCACCCAAACTTAATTTTAATCACCGTAGAACCAAACATACCCACTAACTAATTAGTAGTCAGTTAGGAGCTGCATTTATTTATTAGGAATAGTCAGTTAGGCGCAGCAGTTAGTTATTAGGAATAGTCAGACAGGATTATTCAAATCTGTATGCTGGTCCTATGGTTATAAGTATGGTCATTGTCTCCGTTTTGAGTTAGGAATTCATTTGCATAAGAACATGCTCTGGTGAGTGGTGAGGGGATTAGATTCCTTTGCGTATCTTTTCCATTTGCCGTTAATAAACTCACATCCTCTCATAGTGAAATTTTATGCGGCCTTGTTGTGTTGAAATTTTGCGCTATATCTCTGTCTATAATGTTCAAAAATCTTGGCAGTGTTCCACTTATTATATAAAGAGAGATATAAAAAATATCTAGTCCTTTTTCAGCCTAGAATGGTTATCCGGATTTCAGGGATTGAAAATATTCTTCATCTGTTGGTTGAGTTTTATGAATTGTGAACCTGAAGCTACTGAATTTCCTCGTTATATTTCAGGCTGGTCAAGAATCCTTCAGATCTATTACAAGGTCGTATTACAGAGGGGCAGCAGGTGCACTGCTCGTTTATGATATAACCAGGTATCCTCAAGTTTTTGGATTCTACTGTTGATTCTGAAATCCCAAATTACAATAATTTTTAATCACTTACAATTAAAGAAGCAATACATTGTGGGCAATAATGAAAATTGACGGGACAAGTCATGAATGAAGTCACACATGCTAGCCTATGACTTACTGGGTTCGTTTGTCTCTAAAATAACCTCACATAAGTTTTGGGAAAAAAGGAATAAAAGAGAGACATAATCGTATGATGGCACTTAGCAGAGAATGATTTTCTTTTGGGTTATTAACTTGATCTACCATTACCTTGCAATCCATCTCAAGGATTACATGCAGTATTGTATTTATATCTTCCATTACTTGAAATATGATTTGTAAAACATTTTGGTCTGTTTATTTAGAAGATTAAACTGTTTAAATTTTATAACTTGGCCTGACTTAGAATTTTTTTAGGGGAGATATGATGTGTGCTTCGAACAAAAAATCAGGTTATTGAAAAGCATTTTGATTGAAAACATTGAGTTCTTATATATGCTTAGGAGATATGTGTTTTGAGTGTACCCAATTTGAGAGAGCTACATAATATGTAGGGCAATTTTGATGCATGGATATCTATGTAGTTTCATGTTAGAACTATGTGTTGTTTATTTTAACTAGGGTAGTATAAATAGTGCTGACCCTGTGTCTATCAATAGGAGGGAGACATTTAATCACTTGGCTAGTTGGTTGGAAGATGCAAGGCAGCATGCAAATGCAAACATGACAATTATGCTTATCGGAAACAAGTGTGATCTTGCTCACAGACGGGCTGTCAGCACAGAAGAAGGTGAACAGTTTGCAAAGGAGCATGGGTTGATCTTCATGGAGGCATCAGCAAAAACTGCTCAGAATGTTGAAGAGGTCAGAAGTCACATCATATATTTTTGTTTTCTTCATTTATTTCCTATCTCCCACAAAGAAAGTCAGACTTTGTACATAACCAAGTTGCTAGGTTGAATATTTTGGAAAATTGTCTGTGTAGGAAAGTTTTAATATAACCGATCCTTTTACAGGCCTTCATAAAAACAGCTGGAACCATATACAAAAAGATTCAGGATGGAGTTTTTGATGTATCAAATGAGGTTAGCTTCTTATTTCATCAATTTAGATTTGTCATGCGAGTGTTTTACCACTTTATTACTAATATCATTAGTGATTATAAAGAGAAAAGTGTATCCTAATGATTCAAGAAACAAATCACTGATAATTTTGTATATGATTGCAGTCTTATGGAATAAAAGTAGGATATGGTGGAATTCCTGGACCATCTGGAGGTAGGGATGGCCCTTCTGCTGCTGGGGGAAGCTGCTGCAGTTGAAGTGAAACATATTGCAACCTGTTTGTTTCAAATGTAGTTCTTTATGTATTCTCTTCTCTTTTGGGTTTGGATATATGGAAGTATATACGTTCGTCGTGGGTTGATAAAATCAGATAATTGTATAATGGCCTATTTTAAATCTTCAACTTTAACAGACTATTTGTTTATATTTGTGTGCATAGTTAATTGATTTGTTGTTTCATTCTTCTGTTGAATATAATTCCTGGTAAGCTATTGATAAGATATTGGCAAAACTCATTGCTGAGTGTGACAGTATCCTATCTGTGCAGGAGCTTGAGGAACAAGTGAGTCCATCCTACTGAGTAATATATGTTTAATATGGGAATAAGATGTTGGACATGGTTTGTTGCGTTTGAAATTAGACTTGCATTAATGCATCAAGTTTGTAGTTTTCCATAAGCTTATTCAACGAAATAAAAATGTATATTGTTTTGTTTATATAAACCCTCCTTTTTCTTCGTTGTTCATTTCTTAATTCCGATGTTTCTATCTAATTAATTTGGTTGCTTATCAAAAACTTTGACAGAACTCAATCTTTTGTGTTAGGTAGTCTTAATTATTTGCAAACGTGACAAAATATCCTTTTTTTGTCCTGTATGGCAATGTCCATCTTGGTTCTTAATTTAAAGAAGATTCATCATATTGGTCCCTTAATCCTTCAAAACGTCTCATTTTAGTCTTTTTTTGTTTAATTAACGACGAAAAAAATTAAGAAATCGGTCGCTAAATTTGTTGTTAATTAGACAAAAAAAGACTAAAATGAATCGTTTTAAAGAGTTAAGGGATCAATATGACCAAAATGAACTTTGACGTTAACATACCAGACCAAAAAGAGTATTTTGCTTTTTATTTTTTATTTTTTATAAAATTTCTTAAATTACCCTTACACCTTATGCACCAATGCAAAATGTTTAAAATATCCATTGATTTCGGAAATACATATCCGAAACAATATTTTTTCACAAAATTTGACACAATTCGGATATGCATATCTAATTATCCTATTTCAAATTTGCATCTTCGAAATCACCCATAATAAGGGTGCGTTAAAAAATTACCCTTTTTTTGTAGTATTCTCAAGTCCAAACTACAATAATGGTTTATACCGGTTAGATTATCGCCGGGACATTCGTTGAACCGTATTTTACTCAAATAAAACTAGATGATTTTTTTTGGTGACAATTTCTCATCCCACCCTTGCTATATGGGGCACATCTTGAAAATTCGAAAATGCTTCTGAGTGAATTCAGAGATGCATCTCCGAACGCATTAAATATTATTTTTTAGCAAAATTTAGTTTGGAGATGCCTCTCCGAATACACCTTTGGGGTAAATTCAGAGATGCATGTCCGAAGTCATCTTTTGTCTTAAAATTTGGAGATGCGTCCTCAAATTGTTTCCTGTATGATTTTTTCAGAATCAGTTTTCTCTTATTGTGGTGTTTTCAATTGAAACTAATTGCAATTCGATTAAAATTGTTATTATTTGTTTCAACGATTAATAAAATCGAATATTATAGAACCATGTAAAGCTTTAATAAAAACGAATATTATAAAAATCGAATATATTAGTACAATAATTATTCTGAAGGTCGATTAAAACTAAACAAAATACAATCAAATATATATTCTATTGTGTATGTCTAATCCTAACACTCTAGTTCATCATCCTAACACTCCAACTCCCCCTTTCCTACAGTAAGCCTCGACACTCCGTGCCTCAGAAATAATGGATTGTGCTACGGCGAATGCTTCAGCTTCATCTTTCACAAACACCCTGGACTTGATGCTCACACGTGCAAGTCATATAATGGTCTGACAGCGCGATAACATATCAACAACATGATCATCCATGACCTGCTTGTTCTCTAAGATATTCTCATGAACATGTTTAGGTGGACGTCCAAGAACGACTTGTGTCATGTAAGGGTGTGACACCTTGTAGAACCATGTCATATAAACCCTCCACATAAGACCACTCAGATGTGATTTCCTGACTTCGATACTCTTCCAGTATCAGACGACTCTCAAAATCCTCCAGAATGTCATCCAGCTGTCTGCAGACAATAGTGATGGGAGCTGCCTACAAAGGGGGCTTCGAAATAATTTGGATGTATTCAAATTGTCGAATGCATCGTGCAAGCAGATACCTACACATGAAGTTGGTCCCACATGCCAACCGTCTAGAGTATAAGGAAATGGGATCGAATGGAACTGTGTCCCGGTGAGCATCGTATGACCTCCATCTTACGTCGTCATGCTGAGTCTGGTCGATATACATACGATACAACAAAATATGATTATTCTCTGTTAAGGACAAATCCAAAAGCATATGGCCAATCATGAGTATATAACGGGTCACAATTAAACTCATGGATTCAGTGATAGTGAGCAAAGATACATCCTTGAAAATGAATAAGAAAAAAGTATTAGTAACAATTGTGGAAAAAATAGTGTGTAACTTAATAGTGGAATTTATAAATTACCGTAAGCAGGGTGCATGATCCTGTCATTTGCTTCATCGTTCATTTGCAACCTTCATTCAAGTTGGAGTACAGGTAAATCAAGCATGATACCCCCCAATTCCACTCGTCAATGGTCTCTAAGTCGATGAAATATTTGAGGTAGGTCACATCCACATAATTTGCACTTTTGTCCACAAACATGGACGTGCCAACTAAGAATAGAAAATAACACCTTAGGGCACACTCCTTATGGTAGGTAACCTAGAGATCATTAGTTCATGAGTGATCGACTATCTCCAAATTTTTCCCATACAAGTCCGACAACCAAGAAAATTTGGCATGTGCACTCCCGATGCTTCTACACTACTCAAAGGCTTTCTCATGAACATCTCCCAAATAAACCTCTATCATATGTTGTGCCTCGTCCCTGTTTATATTAGAATGATCAAGCAACCTTCCTCTGATGAGAATGTGTAGGGGGAATGCTACATCATCTAGTGTAACAGTCATCTCACCAATGGGCATATGGAAAGATGAGGTCTCATTGTGCCACCTCTCAACAAATGCAGCTTGTATGTCATGGATGATGTTGGTGACCCTGTAGCACAAAGACCGACTAACCTGAAGTTCTGGAGTACATTTTTGAACCAGGCATCCTCAAGCTGGTAAAGATCGTGAATATTTCTTGTATGATTCACACTTTTGAGACAGTACACTCATGTTGAAAATGAAATATAACATAATCAGCTGAGGTTAATTTCGATACAAAATAAAAAAATAGAGGCAGTTCAAAAGTTTACCTCTCTTTCCCAGACATGCAGAGTGTAACACTCCAATTCTACCCCTCGTAATTAATAATAAAATCAGAGTTTCAAAATTTCATCCAAGCATAAATTGAGGTATCACATATTCGTGTTTTTCATTACTTTGCATTATAATGTACATCACAAAATCAAAAGCCGAATATACCGATTCATAACATAAATCACCATATAGACATATGGCTAATCACAGCACAGCGGATGTGTTCATAAAATGTACGTATCATCATGTTATCATCAATACATAAAGTCATAATATAGTATACATAAACTATCCTATCAAAATAATAACGTCGCCCAAATCCCGAGTGTTACTACTATCAGAGCAGAGCGACTCAAAATAAAGAGACTCGAGCTAATCCTCATCATCCTCGCGGATCACCTGCACGTTACCAATATAAAGGCAACGGAGAAACAAGTAAAGGGTGAGATACTCCAAAGCATATAATTAAAGGCATGATAAAATATATAAATAGTTTTGGAATCATAAATGATATAGGTTAATAAGAATATGTCAACAAATATCAAATCTCACATACTTTATCATTTAGTGTATAAGATCAACACTTTAATATCGTCACATAATCACCATAATCATGTCAAAACAAGACATAAACCCCATTGTCATAAACTCATATCGTCGCTTTACCGTCATGTTATACCCATCGCATAATTTTCATGAAATTATCACATCATAATCACTTTATGTTTAACACAAAAATCGTCACAAAATAAGGTATCATATAACATCGCAATTCATTATAAGCCATCAAATAAAACTCAACGCCAAAAGACTCAAAAATAAACATAACCGACTCCATGAGACATGACTATGTTATGCATGTGGTACCCGTCACTTTGTCCATAATTAGGGACATTCGACATAAAAGCCCATCGTCGCTTTGGCATAAAAGCCCTCGTCGCTTGGCATAAAAGCCCTCGTCGGCAATGCAATGTATATGACTCGACAACACGACATCACAAACACGACACAACAAAACATCATTATCGCACATCAAAATTGGTATAAAACCCACGTCTCCATATTCATCCACATCAAGATAAACATATCATCGCATCGCATATCATCAAGTATTCATTATAAATAAACTGTCGCAATCATCATATTTAATCACACCACATCATTATCAAATAATTCACTAAATTTCAAACACGTAAAAATAGTCAAACATCAATAATCGTCGCGAAAGTCATTCATAATAATCGGCACCAATCATAATCATTAACGTCGCAATCGGATTATCCATACGCACCTTAAACCGACTAAAACGTAACCCATTTCAAATTAACCGTAAATTAACTTATTTTGCGTTGCTCCATTAAAAACTCGTATTCTCGAAAAACTAACTTCACCACGATGTTCTACACGTCAAAATTAGCTAGCACATCAATTTTCGTTAAATTCAGAGCAACTTGCTCCATCACCGAAATCAGGAAATCGGAACATAATCGGGTTCCAAATTAAATCGGCTAACTTATGTCATATTTGTATTTAATTAATATAAATATTTAATATATACTGCATAGTACTTTAGTTTTACAAACTTAACTTAATTCATATACTGTTAGTTAGTTTCTAAACTCTATTTTAATGTATATACTGCTGCTAGTTTCTAAACTCCATTTTAATGTATATACTGCTACTAGTTTTGTTTTTTTATTTTTATTTTTAA